GTGCCCAGCCCTTGTCTCCAGCTCTGTTTCCCGGGAGGCCAGACTCAGACAGGCTGCAAACAACATGTCCAGGAATTGAAATTTTCTCCTATGGACAAAGTAAAGCAACACTTCGCCAAGACTGAAACAACAATGACAGCACTCTGCTGAGCACTAGCCTTTAGTGCTAGTGGGGTTGTGGAGAACCACCCCTTGTGACCCTGGCCTGCTACCAAGGCTTCTGCTGGTCAGCTAGGACTGGGTTATTCCTTGGCACGGCCATCACCTGGAGTTCAAAGACAGTGCAGGGAAATGTAGTATCATCCCTATGCAAAGATATCCAGACAGGCCTGCTGGGTCACATTGTGGGGACACTGCAGATAATGGAAGGGTTACCCTGGATGTAAACAGAGGTAGCTGGAAAGGAAGAAAGCAATTATTGAAAAAGAAATAAGAAAGAAACACGGGTGGGAGAGGAGAGGTCACTGATCTCTCTCTGAGCATGCATCCGGAAACAAGAACACCTGAAAGAGTGGAAGTTGTCCCAGACCGAAAGGGCAGCTCTCTTTAGTTTCCCAGTAGCGGGAGTGAAGACCTAAGAGGGCTTTGTTGCCAGCCAGGAGAAAACCAGGGATGTGAAGGTCAGGTTTCCAGCAGCAAAAGGAAGCTGGGGCTGGGGGAGGGGTGGGAAGTAGGAGGAGCCCTGGGAGGGCCCAGAGGAGCACCTGCCCTATCGCCAGGCAGTGGCAGTATTAGGCATTAGGGAAGCAGCCACAGAAAGCCATCCCCCTCATTTGACCCTTCCTCCTGCCCAAGCCTTTAGTAAAAGTCTGCACGCAGAGACTCTGAAGAGTCTGGGGAATGAAGAGAAATGGCGCTGCCAGCATGGGAGAGGGCAGTGAGGAGGGGAGGGAGAAGCAGAGTTGGGACTGCAGTGTGTGCAGGTGTGTGCATGTGTGACAACAGGGCTGACAATATTTTACGTGGAGCCTGCTTTAACAAATGTGAACTGAAGACTTCACAAAAAATGTTTTTCTGATGTGATTTTTTTTGAATAGATACTGCATATTCAATGGTTCCAAAAAGAGTACCAAATGGGAGCAGGGAAGATCTTCCCACACTCACCCCTTGACACATCCACTTCCCTTCCCACAGGCAACCAATCCTTCAAAGAAGGTTTTACAATTTGGCAAGAAAAGCACATGTAAAAGTCATGTTCTAATGTACATAAGTGGTGCACACTACGCACACTACCGCAAGACACTCTTCTCTCTTAAGGGACTGCAGGTCTTTTCACGTCAGCGTCAGCCGAAGTGAGGATTCCCATCTCTCCCTGCTGTCACATGGTATTCCTTTAAATAAAGGCTCCAGAAGTCAGTTAAGCAGTCCTGAGCTGAGGTGTGTCTAGGTTGTTTTTTAAATGTTTGCTGCTATTAAAAAAACAACAACAGTGAAATGAGCAAGATATGATACAGGTTAAGTATTCCTAGTCCAAAAATCTGAAATTTACAATGATCCAAAACAAATTTTTTTTGTGTTTTGGATGTTGGATTTTCAGCTTTCTCTATGCAAATATTTTGATATCCAACAAACAAAACCTTTCAAATCTGAAATAATCTTGATCCCAAGTATTTTAGATAAAGTGTGCGTGCTCTCTCTCTCTCTCTCTCTCTCTCATATTATATATATGTACTATTTTATTTTTTTCTTAGAAGAGAATTTCACTGTGTTGTCCTGGCTGGTCTCAAACTCATGGGCTGAAGCAATCTCCCCAGCTCAGCCTCCCAAGTAGCTGGGACTACAGGTTCACAACCACCACTACGCCCAGCTTCAGCCTGTATATTCTTAACTGGCTTTTATTATATGAAGGCTACAGATGATTTTTCCCCAGTGAAACATAAGTTCAATTTACTATGGCAAACCACAGCTATTTAAAAAGGATGTTCTCTTGAAAACACTGTTGTCACATATATTTGATTTGGTAGGATATATATTAGTAAAGAAAATTTAGCTCTTATTGCTAGTAACAGCTGTGTATTTTCAAAAACAGATCATGTAAAGGCCGAGTGACTTTTAGCACTCATTGATTCAAGATCAAGGGTGTTTACTTAAAACAGTAAGGGCAGTCAGGACAGAATGAGGTCCAGCTGCTCAGCAGATTTACAAGTCAATGAACTGGAATTAGGAAGCATTGGTTTGACTCCTTGCTCTGCTGCTGTGAACATCTTAATAAAATAGAGAGGAGGATTGCTGCCCTACGATCCTGTAAAGTTGTTCCGGGGATAAAGTGGAAAATAATTTCACATATGTGAAATCTGCTCATGAACTGTGAACGCTTGAACGAGTGTTGAATCCTGTTGTTCTTATATTTTTTACAGTGCCATTTTTGAAGGTCAGTACATAATCCACCTGTGAAATAAATTCTAAAATATATTTTATATAACAAATTACACTGGACATGACTGTTTTAATTAAACGCACCAAAACGGTGGCCATTATGTATCATAATGCTTTTCAAAACTAGTTAAAGAGAATCAGAAAGGAGACAGATTGCCACTGGCCAAGCATCCCAACTTTTTGTTTTGTTTTGTTTTGAGCCTCCTCATCTCTCTCTCTCATCTACAGTTATTAAAGTCAAGTTCACTGCTAACCACTTCGACAGGCGATACATATGGAAACCACTCAACTCTGGTGGGGTAGGTGATATCTTTTTGGCAATTAGCACTTTTAATGTTCTTGGATTCACAGATAACATAATCTCCCTGGATGCATTTGGAAATGATCATTAAAGCAAATGAGTGATCAACATTTGACCACTCTGGAAACAGAAACGATGGTATGTCTGGATTTGAGAAATATCAAGAAACCTACCCAATTCACGCATTCAAATCTTCAAGAAGCCTCATGACCTAAGCAGACACGTACCGCAGGCTGTTCTCAGTCAATCCATTCAAACGTCCCTTCCCTCTTTTCTAGTCCCTGCCTCCATGGAAACAGGCTACTGACCTGCTCAGAAGGGAGACAGAATCTCTGGCAAGGCTGAGACTTTTAATAATTCCACTTGTCAATACAGGTCAGAGAGAAATGGATGGATTCCTACCAAGTTACTTAACAAACTACTAACAAAATAAGTGGCTGCCAGCACGTGACCAGATCCAGTGACCAGAGTATTCCTGGGAACTCTGAACACCACATCATTAGAGTCCGAGAAAATCGGCATCACTGACACCTGTCTATCAAATTGCTTGCCGGGTTAGGACTTCTTCCTTCAATATTTTCTTTATTTACCTTTTCCCTAAAAGGTAAAAGTACAGTATATTGGGTGGCTGATTCAATGTGATTATTAACCTGATTATTCGTTCTCCCAAATTTATTTTAATAAACAAATACAAAAGATCTATAGAAAAGGACATATTTTGCTGCACTAGTTTCCTGATGAGAAACCACCTGGAAATATCAGTTTCTACTGAGCAAACTTCCCTCTTGAGTGAAGACAAGGATCAAGAAGCATGAGGTCTGATATCCAGGGTCCACGCTCCCATCCCTGCCACTGAAGAGGCCCCCTTGCTCCTCTCCTCTCTTCTCCAGGATGTATCCTATCCTACAGTCTGTCCTTTGTAGGACTGCCTTTTTGGTAGCCCTGGTATCTGATTCAGAAATATAAATACTACTTCAGAGATTTATTTCACAATTCACCTCCTGATTTGTCATGGCCTGGAAGGTCAGCTTCCAGATTTTCTATTCTAAATTACTTTTGAACAGATTTCCCAAACAGACTAAGAAATGGCTTTTGTCTGGATGGGAACAAATTCGGAAAGTTAAGATTCAAATCCTCTTTCTATCTCTTCTGTCAGAATGTAAACCAACTGCCAACCCCGTAAGTTACCAAATCAATTATTTGTAGAAGAATGCACAGGTGCAGTGGACACACTGGAGTTATAAAAAGAAAATGGCAAATTATTTTTTCATGGGCCAGCTGCTCAACTGATGTGATCCTGGGGAAGGTTCTTCTTAGCTGTGAAGCTCAATTAGCAAATCAATGAACCCCACCCCCTTCCCTGCCACCCTCCACCCTCTGTCTGAGTCCCCACTGCCCAATCAGCCAGCATGGGGCTCAGTTGCTTTCCACCGGCCCTGGTCAACAGGAGGTCTGTTTCGGTTTAATGAAGCATCAGCAACCACCAGAAGAAGCAAAGCACCTCATTCTGCCCCCACATATTCAGCTCTGTCCCCATCCATCCTCAGTTGCATTAGAAGTGGGATCAGCACAGACTCAGCGGGAGCCAACAGTGTGGCTGGCTGTCACTTTCTCTCAGTGGAAAGGAGGTATGACCAGGCAAAGCAGATGGTTCCTGCAGGGGCACTTCCAAAAAATCCGCTAGCAAACTGTGGCAGTGCCTTTCAAACCTTAGTGGAGAGGAACAGCAGATCTCCTTCACCATATTGGGCCATGACACACTCACATTGCACACTCATCTACTTAAGAGTCTGCTAACCCTTGGCAAGGTACAGTAAGGCTTCGTCTAGGGCAGAGGACAGCCTCTCTTTCTAAGCATTGCAGAGATAGCCATTGTTACCACTCATGCTCCCAAATCGCTCAGTAAAATCATTATCTAGGGTAGGCTACCTTCAATAGACATCCATCCTGTGGATAGGCTAGCTAGGTGGAAGGAGCGATGGGGCCAGTGACACTTCAAATAGCAATTAAAACACGTTTCACCATTAAACATTCATCGAGCGTTTTTTCCCTCCAACTCAAGATCAATTTATAAATGATTATTTGTTGACTCTATAGGCATGGGCAAATCATGCCCCATTTGGGGGCCTTGGGTTCCTCATGTGTAAAATGAGGATGTTGAACTCCTCATTTCTAAGATTCCTTTTGGCACCCAATTCTAGAGGTTTTTGCCTGGGGATTGGTCACCTTCAATACACGGGAAAATGACATCTTCCACTAACCACCTTCTTATTCAGCACTAGCAGAAAATAGAAAGGCTGCTGCCATCACACACATGGCTCACCTTCTCCACCGGCGTGTGCTCTTCGTTTGTGACACTTGTTTTTCTTGACTCATTTTTAGACCTGCTCAGCCTTCTGGATACTTTTTCTCTGAGTAAAGTGGCATATCCAATGTGTTCATAGATGGGGTTCGTTGTCATTTTTGAAATGTATTCAGCAGCTTTTGTTTCTATGTACAGCGTTATCAAGCCATCTGTCACCAGATCGTGAATGGATTCAAACCTCTTTTCGCCCACAAAGTGTTTCCCATCATGGAAGAGCCTGTAGTTTAAAGTCTGGTTTCCAAACCTGCCCACAAAAGATCAAGGGATTACAACAGATTAGAATCAGAATGGTGAGGACCAATAACAGCACATGTTGTGTGCCAGGGACAGGTTAAGTGCTTGACAATTATCTGAGAGACCTTCTGTGATGGGTACAATTATTACCCCTGTTTTATAGCAGAGACAACTGAGACTTAAAGAGTTGGGGAAACCAGCTGGATGTCACATGTCTGGAATGAGACAGTGGTGGGATCTAACCCCAGGCAGTCCTTTAGAGTCACTGGATCCTATAAATCACTCAGGTCACTGGGTCATAGCATTCTCATTTAGAAAAGTCAGAGGGTAGTGCCTGATTTACAAATATCTTACCTATAAACTTCCGTAATAGGAACTGGCAATTCTCATTGCAAGAGATGCTACCACTGGTGACCCTGATGTCCCCTCATTACACCAGTGGAGCACGCTATTCCCGCCACCCCAGTTAGTGCAGCAGGAGAGAAACGTCAGAGCTGTGCTAAGTTCCACCACCACCTGCCTCCCAGCAATCTCACCCACAGGGTCCCCTTCTTTTACCCCCGGCTCTCCCCTGTGGACCCTGTCCTGCATCTCACAGTCCTGCCTGGTTCCCCACTGGGACTGCCAGCTCCTGCTGCTGGGGAGCTGGGAAGATAGAACTTTGCATACTTAAGAGTACTCAGTAGTTTCTGATGTACTTCTTCATCATTGTATCACTTAAGATATATCCTAGACATTCCCAGCTGCAACTTGGAAAGTTTCTTTCCAAGGTCCAAACATTGAAATGGTGCACTAATCACCTTCCGTGGGTTGGCTTGGGAAGTGTTTCCCCTGCTCCCATCCCTCTATAGAGAAAGGTCTTCTAGATTCCAGAGTCCACAAATGAACTTTTGGAAGACAACCTGATTCTGAAATTGGATATCTCCCCCAAACCTAAATTAGATCATAGTGAGAATCAAATAGCATAAAATATTTGATCAAGGTATGGAGAGCGCAATGAATGCAATGTCTTTCTTCTAGCACCCTGGGAGGCTGAGGGAGGAGGATCCCAAGATCAAATCCAGCCAGGGCAACTTAGTGACTTAGTAAGACCCTGTCTCAAAATAAAAAATTAAAATAGTAGGAGATGTAGCTGAATGTGAAGGCCTTGGGTTCAATCTCCATTAATGAAAAGAAACAAAAAACACCTTTCCATAATTGTGCTCCCTGGTGAAAGGCTCTGAGAACCCTCCTGGGCAGGTGCATTGGCAAAGTTGTATCCTTCCAGCACCCCAGCCACAGAAGCTGCATGGTGAATGCCATCATGAGGCATCTGAGGGGGGTCAAGCTGTCCTTGAGAGAACCCAATGGACAAGTGATGCCCAGCAGGTCTTGCCAGGTGTGCTCATGGAAGACAAGGTAAAGGAATCCTTGTTGCAAAAGGGCTGCTGGGAACCAAGACAGAGACATGTCTGGGCTGTGTCGAGTAGCTCCAAGTGTCAGGAAGAGGCAGCTGTAGGAACACAAACTTCCCAGATAATTCTCCAGAGTGCCGATAAACACAGTCCCTGTGTGATAACCTAATGACACCAGTGGCCAAGTAGATACACACACAATTCATGTGCTGCTGAGGCTTTGGACAAATGTGAAAGGAAAAATAAATAGTAGAGAGGGAGTGACTGTCTGCGAGTGCCAAGTTTCTGTCTGAGGTGATTAGAAAGTTCTGGAAGTGGATAGTGAAGATGGTTGCACAACACTGAGAATGTTAATGCCAGTGAACTGTACACTTAAAAATGGTAGGAATACTAATTTCATTTTACATATATATATATATATTACTGTAAATGGAGTAAACATAAGTAAAGCCATGAAAACAATGAGTGAATTGCAGCGCACCTCAGAGCTAATGTGTAGCATCCTGGCTGCCGCTGGCTTTCTCGAAGGATATAGGCGCCCTCCACACCTCCTAGAAGCTCATCTGCCTGCTCCCGGGAGATGATGCCATGAAACCTGGGGAAACAACACTATCTCAGACCACATACACAGTAGGACCTCAGGAGCTAGGCTGAAAAGGATGGCTAGGCCACCCCGAATCTACACTCCCCACCTGAGTGAGGGGAACGGGGGAACGTGACTACTGCACGTCTTACAGACTGACTTGGAACCATCGTCCAGCAGGCTCCAAACAAATAAATGTCCACAGAGGCAAACACAGGCAGAACCCTGTCCACTTGGTTTTCTGCTACTGCCTTCTCTCTCAAGCTGAAAAGCAAAGTCGAAACAAAAAGCCAGGTTATGGCTTCCTTTATAACCATGGAGGAAAAACAAAAGAGCAATTACCAATTTAGGTCTCAGCTCAAACACGGATAACTATGTATTATCCTGATTGCAAATGAGCACTTATTGATTAGAGCCCTGCTTGCTTCAGGTGCGGGGTGTTAATTTTAGAGGCACATCTTCTGGAAAGAAGAGCTGGCAATAATCAACCTTTCCCCAATTCTTTACATTTTGAGAACAATGGCTTAGAGACATGTTTGGAAAATGTACCTATTTTTCTTTGTTAAAGATAATGTTTATCTTCTTTGTGCTACCACTTTAAAAGTAATACATTAGCATGTAGAAAATGTGGCAGATCTGGGAAGGCCTCAGGCTTGGTCAAAGACTGCTTTGACCTTCGAGAGGAGGCTGTCTGAGGCCTAGAGAATGAACAGTGACCAGGGAGGCTGAGGAAGAGACAGGCGTTGGATCAGGTCCCACCTACTTTCCCTGGTCCCTTTAAGCAAGGATGGCTTCTCACCACCATTACTGGAGATTTGATTCAGCAGTGTTTTTAGAGCAGGATGGGCTGGGATGGGGGATGAGGCCAGTGTGGGGACTCCAGGTGCCCGGGAGAAGGAACAATGACTCTTTTTAGGAGAATAAGTCACAGAATTTTTCTGGACCAAGAAAAACACCTGTACCTTCTTGGTAGGGCGAGAGGTAAAGCGAAGTCAATCAGACAAGTGTTGTTTTGTTCTCCCCCAGGAGTGCAAAGATTAAGTTAGAAGACAACTATAGTAAGACTATAATTGGAAAAAAAATAGCCTAGTAGAATATATATTTCTTAAGTCCCTCTATCTTTTAAAAGTGGATGCTTTTGTCCTAGGGGAGGGAGGCCAGAAGCAGCTGTGGCTCTGTGTTCCAAAACTGGCTCAAGTCTAAGGCTGTGGTAGCTTAGGGGAGGGGTTTTCTGGTTTCCCAAATTTTGGGTTTAAATCTCAAAAGCCAGTGCCTGCAGCACTGGGAGCAGCACTTTTCTGGAGTGAAGATGCATGTGCTATGACTTTAAGGAGAACAGTGTCCCGAGTCCGAAGGGTTTGGCAGAGTGGACTCATCGGTCACACGGGTCCCACATAGTGTGCATGGGACTGGAAGCTGCATGTCAGTCCATGGGGACAGTGGAGTGCACGGTCTGAGCTCTGACTGTGAGTAAGGACACTAAGCTCTGCAAACTGTGGAGAAGGCTCCTGTTTGGCAGGAGCTGGGGCAGAGAGGGCTGGAGAGACAGCCTGGGAGAGAGATCTGAGGATGGCCTTGCAGGTGTGTGTGTGAGCTGGGAACAGGAGGACAGAAGGAGCAGAGGGCATGGGAAAGCTTTCCACACAAAAGCCAAAAAGCACAAAAGCTGGTGTCAGAAGAAGTGTAAGAAGGGGATGTCTGGGACACTCCTGGCCAGTGAGACAGGGAAGTGAGCTCAGTGGGATGAGGCACGCACAGAGATCCAGCACCTGTCCCAGGTCACCCTGGGGAGAAAGGCAGGAGAAAGGGAAAGAAGAGTATCCCAAACAGGCCGTCACTGTGAAAGCAGCTAAACGTAAACTCCCTTGAGCTGGCAGTAGCAGACAGTGCCAAGAACTAAGTTAGGGCCAGGGTTTTACTTCAGCGGACAGAGTCTGCCTGGCAAGCGCAAGGTCCTGAGTTTGGTAGCCTGTACAAAAAAAAAGTTAGATCCAACTCTTCAAAAGAAGAAAGTGACAATTTTGTGTCCCTAAAGACCCAGTCTGTGGGTCATCACCACTTTTATGCATTGTTTTTAAAACTCTGAATATCTATGAGGTAAACCAGAAAGAGATACAGGAAAAAAGGCAATAATGGTTCTTTCCCCTTCATGGTAGGGAGCTATGGGTGTGTTTCACCATGCATTCCACCATGCATTCCTGTATTTTTTATTTTTCCTAAGTTAGCAGGTATTTATATATTAACCTAAAAAAAGGAATGCCTGTGCACAGTGGAAAAATTCAAAATTCAAATGTTGCAAGGTACAAAAGAAGTAAAATGTAAGCAAAACAGAGGTAAATATTCTCTTTGCCTAAAGGAACGCATTGTCAACAGTTTCCTGTGCTTCCTTCACAAGAAATGTGCATGTGACTTTCATGGATACAGCATGTATTACGTTATGAGTGGACAGAAAAGCCTGTTAACAAAAAGAGAAACACAGACTCTGCAGGTTTTACACTAGTTCTTCTCTACAACAAAATATTTCTTTCAGTAGTTAAGAAAATGTCTTCTTTGGTTCCACTCCATATATTCTATATGAACTGTGGGTTGGAAGATGAGAACTAAAGGTTATTTAACCAAACTTTCATGCAAAAAAGAACATGCACAATAAATAGAATACCTTTTGGAATTCATGTGCAAAAGTGTATTTGGCAGGTTTTCATTTTCTCTTTTTTATTAATTGTGATGTTTGCAAGCAAAACTTAAATCAGTATATTGAGAAATAAAGCCAGGCTACAGCATAAATTAAGGCATTAGGGACACGGGGGTAGATGACAGAAGAGGCCAGCATTCCTGGACAGGTATTCCAGAGGGCTCAGCCAAATTCCCAAAGTCCCCACAGAAGGTTCTGAAATGCAGCTACAGCAATTAGAGAGGGGCACTGGGCTGAGACCACTGAGAAGGTCATTAATCACAAAGATGAGGCTTTGATGGGTAACAGAATAGGAGGCTAAAGCTGTTGGATTGGCCAGGACAGCCTGAGCGGTGGCTTTGAAAGAGGCTTCGGCTCCTGCCATCTCTAGGTTGGAGATGGAAAGAAAAATGACTTGGGACTCTATTTTGGACCATTTCACCTCTCCCTCCCTCCCTCCCTCCCTCCCTCTCTCTCTCTCTCTCTCTCTCTCTCTCCTCTGTAAGGTGTTTCACATGTCACAGTTGTAAACTGCAAATTGTTTTTATGGTTATTCACATCTGCTTTGCAGTAGGTTACTGAGAAAGTGAAACAAAACAGGAGTTGGAATTGAGAAAAAATGGAGGGAGGGAGAATAATGATGGACTAAGGCAATTTGGCTAATATATCCATCACAGGAGAAATCAACATTTTGGTTATGAGACTGCAGGAAAATGGGGTGCCTTTCCTGACCACCATGTTCACAAAGTATAGCAGGGTTAGGAACTCAGCTACCACGCGTGGTCTTTGGCACTCTAAAGGTTTAATTGTATCAAGGTAGAGAGTGGAATAAATGCTAACAAAGAGTCTCAATTATTAAAAACACTACCTTCCATTTCGAATACTTACTTGCCAGGCACTCAGAAGCTGCTTATGTGGAGAGCACTGCAGCAAGAAACACTTTCCCTCCCACCTTAATGGAAAATAAGCACCTGAATATTATAAAGAAAATCCAATACAAAGGAATCTGATTGCATTTATTCTTATTATCAAACTCTTGCACAATGGACATGTGATGAAGACCATATGTTAAAGAATTTGAATATTTAATATTTAAATGACACATGAGGTGACTACTTATTAAATTATTAAAACAAAGAATAGTGTAATACATACTCTCTTCCATAATATTTTGGTCTGTTTTCCACCTATATTAAAAAGAAGAAAAGTATTAATAATGCATTTGAATTCAAATCAGCTAGATCAAAATACTACTTAAATAAACAGAGCTAGAGTCCCAGTACTAATTTTATTACAGATTTCATTCTCCAAATCAGAAATCCATGAAGCTATGGAGTTCATCAACACATTTCACTATCATGAGTAGGAATGATCTAGAATTATTACATTTCTGTACTCATTAGGCTCACCTTCCACCTAAACCCAATCACCCAATAAAAGAATTTTCAGAGGACACAAAATGATGCTTATTTTGACATCAAAGACAAAACTAATACTTCCAGTATGAATAAAATATAAGCATTTGTTTCAATCTTCATCTAATTGTTTTGTTATGAATTTATTACAAAAAATGAGGAGCACACTTGGATTAAAACATGAAACCAGCTTAATTTGGTTTCTTTCCAAATAAAATCGATATATTTTTAAACAAATAGCTAATAGGCTGAAATTCATTTGCCATCAGAGTTACAGGATACAGAAGAAAAGATTTATGACTTTAAAAATCACAAAGTTTCAAAAAAGACATTTCAATCAGGGCTTTACCCTTGGGGTTGTCTATCAGATTTTAAACATGTATATGGTAATCTCCTTTCAGAAGAATTTTGTTTCTTTATGTTTATGGTATTGGAATTGGTGAAAAATTAACATGAATTCTCATGTGTAGCTTTTTCCCCTCCTCTTTAACTCCAGGGACACTCCAAATATAGTTGGGACACATTAAGATTTTTATTTATGGTGTAGGTATGATAGCAAATTTATGTTTATTCATTGGAGTGGAATATGAGCCTGGCAGCTACTACGTCTGCCATTGTCTCTGTCTAGAGTCAAATGGGCTTCTTTCTCTTTAAGGTTCACAGACAGGCAATGTTGTGGGATTTCAAGGCATTGGCATCTTCCTGGCCTACCTTCAGGCTCACAGGATGCAGGGCTCTAAGTGTGCATGGGGTGCTGTGGACCAAAAGAAAGGATTGGAAAGATGCTGGGGCTCTGAGGACCACATTCACAATTCTTCCTAGGACAAGCCTCACTGGCACAAGACTAATCATCTAGACACTTCTAAATATGTCTTCACTCTTCTATGCATTTTACACCTGAAAGCACTCAACCAAGAGAGGCGTGCAGAATTCTTAATCTTCAAGGTTTGAAGCTTGCTCAATGTCTTTGTGAAGGAAGATTTAAATAATCTCATTAACAGAAGCGTGAAGTGTGCAAAAAGGTACCTTATTATGTGGTGTCTTTTCTAGAGATGATGTGTGCCGTTACTCTACATGCCAATACGTTTTTAAATGAACTGAACATTTTGTCATTTACATCTGTCTACTGGCTTTTGAAGTTCTTTCTTTTATGATACTGTTGATATGCAACTGTAACCCTAATATGCCTGAGAAACACTTTAGAACCAGAAAAGCCAAAGGAAGTACACAATATATAATGACAAAATCTCCCCCATTCTTGAACACGAAATATTACAAAATCTGAAACAATTCCTTTGTAGAAGGACAATTGTTTATTCACACCTTTTGAATGGGTCACAACACCACTTTGCAAAATCTGAAGGTAGCTCTCAGCCCTGCTCTTTCTCTGTCCTCTCTCTTCTCTAAAACAGGCAGAGTAATTTGTCTAACTTCCCAGGTAGACAGCATGGTACATGGAGCCTACTGCTAAATCCTGGTGTGTAGGTTGCAGGTGGTTAATAAATGTTAAATTTAATTGATTCTTAACACGACAATAAATTGCTTTAAGTTCATCCATCAATCAAAAATATACAGCACACTTATTGGGTTCCTAGCTCTGTGCTCAGCCCGTCACTGTTCATGGAATAATGGCCTTACAGGAGCAGGAAGGACGTCTATGAGGAACTAGGGGGCTTCTGTGCTTGTAACAGGAGAGAAATACATTAGAATAAAACTACCAGAGGCCCCAAAGTAGGAAGGTCAATATTTATGGTGCCCTGAGGGCTGCCAAATACAATCTTGCCCAGAGGAGACTTCAATCCAATTGACAGACAAATCTCCTGTGTAAAGAAAACCACTAGAAAATACAACAAGAGGACCCAGTCATGTGGGACAGAGCACACATAGAATAGGGCCATGGAAGGGGCCCTAAATATTGCCAGAAACATTACTGATGTATCATTTCCCATTTATCAGAAATCATGTTATAAACTATGGAATCCTGGTTTTCATTTCATTTAAATTGGGCAACTCTACATAAGAGGAGAGGACAAATGGAAGGAACAGGAGGACAGAAGATAGGGTCAGATATCTAACCACTGATGGAGACTGATTTGACAGCAATCTGATTCAACCTCTTTCCCCTCTGTTGTCTGTGTTGCTCTTACAGAAAGCACAGTTGACCTTGTTAATATTAAAGAGAGAAAGAGAATGGCTGGCATAAAAAAACAAAACAAAACAAACTAAAACCTTTTTCTTTTTATAAACTTTTTGATCACTGGAATCTAGACATATCCTCTCTCTACACTTCACTAAGCTTTAAACCAATCAAGAGGCTAATTTTTAAGTTAAATGACCTGAAAAAATCATAAGACATCCACATTTCTTCAAGTTGGATAATACTGGATCCTTGGGCTAGACAAAACGCAGATGACTAGATGTCAGGGCTCTGAGGGACAAAGTACCTACCTGGAGGGACTAGGAACTCCCACACCAAGACCCATCTGTGCCTTACGGAGCCCAACCTACTCACTCCCCAGGCAGGCTCTGTGTCAGCCAGCCACAGGATTCACGGCCACCTGTGAGAGGTGGATTTGTTTTTTCACAGAGGCTGCAACACTGATCTTTAGTTTTCTCTTTTCTTTTTTTTTTTTTTTGGTACTAGGGATAGAACTCGGGACCTTGCGCTTGCAAGGCAGGCAGCAGAACCACTGAGCTAAATCCCTGGCTCTTGAATTTTAGTTTTCAATGAGATTCCCTTCAGTGAATGTGACTGAGACAGAGGAACACTGATAAATAAAAAGTGAAGTTGTAGCATCCCCATTGAAAGTTATTAAAATCTGGGAAATTGATCAAATAATGGAGCTTGGCTTTAGATGGTCACATGGATTCAGGGAGGGCCAGAAAATGTAGCAACATGTTTAAAGGTTGTTTCTGGAGCTCTCTGGCTTCTGTGAATGTCCTAGGATAGTAGCTGGGGCCTCCTTAGTGACCCTGATCATTGTGAATAAGATTCAGAGATGTTGGCTCTGCCTTCCTGCTCTGGAGAATTAGGGATCCAACTCTAAGAAGTGAAAGAAACCCAACCCACCTTTTTTTTTAAGAAAGAGGAAAAACATAGCAATTTGTAGACCAATTACTAGATCCTCTAATACTGGATCCTAAGATCATCCACCTGGTTCAGAAAGTAATGTCCCTATTACAAGAGGAGAAGACCAAGCACAGGCTCAGCTGACCAAGTACACACATGAAGTGGAGCAGTCCTGAGACCTAGGTGGACTTAGTATACATGGTACATCCATGCAGAATGTTGACTGATCCTTTTAAAAAATGTAATCAAATATTTTATTCTAAATAAGCACCATTTATAGGAGACTAGTCCCCCAAATGGACACAGCACATGCCAGTGTTGATAGAGACACGATTGGATTACCACTTTTTGGAACTGCTTTAAGATACACACCCTTTCTCCTATCTTACAGCTTCACTTCTCAAAGTATGGTTCGGTCATTCAAAATGGAAACTTCAGAGTGCTTGTTAAAGATCAGATTCCTGATCCTCACCTTGGACCACCTGAGCCAGAATTACCGAGAGTAGGGTAGGATGTGATGTGTTATTTAATCTAGCCTCCTTAGATGATATTAAAGCACCTACTAAAGTAAAAAAAATCACTATTTTCTTTTGAGAATGGGTTTGAGAATGGATGTTATTTAGGCAAACAGGCATAAATTACTGAGCCAAACCAGTAGATTGGGTAAGTGATCAAAATAGGAAACACATTTAAAACAAAAAGGAGGCATAACCACAGGATTTTCACTGTGACTTCTGACGGTATTTTAGAACAGACATTTCCAAAATACTCTGGGCAATGGGAATTTGGATATGAAAGCAACACTCTCCAAAATGACTGGTGGAAAGGGATCACGCTCATGTAATATACAGTTGGCCCTCCATATCCCCAAGTTCCATATCTGCAAATTCAACCAACTGTAGATTGAAATATTTGAAAAAATTCTTCAGAATTCCAAAAGGCAAGACTTGAATTTGCTGTGTGCCAAGCACTATGCTGAACCCACATGAAGTGAGGCATAGGGATATTAGGTATTACAAGTCATTTAGATGTGACAGAAAGTACACAGAGGGTATGTGTAGGTTCTATGCAAATACTGCACTATTTTATATAGCAGAAGTAAGTATCTGCAGGTTTGGGTATCTGCGAGGGGCCTTAGAACCCATTCCCTGTAGATACTGATGTACTGAAATATGTAATGTGTTAAATTGTATGTACATATGTATTAAAATAAGATCTGTCTCGTGACTTTATAGTCACATCTCAAATATAATTAAGTAGCCACCACTGTGACTGCTGAAGATGGCTTTGGTTCTGACCAGTCTTTTCCATGACATTCATACATTGTATTTCTACATATGTGAAGCCAACTTAAATGGCATGGCTTCCAGCTAAGAGCCTATACAGTATTCCAGGATTTTACATGCCAAAATAATAATTTTTTACGGCACCAAAAAATCAATTTTCCAAGTATTACTAAAATTATTTTAAATGACTTTCTCACAATGTAATCAGAATTATTGAATAATAATACAAAGGATGTTTTTCTTTTCCCTTCTTTCATGTAAAGGTGCAAGATCCCAATGATGAATGTAACTGTATTGAATACCTAAATTGTACCAATAAACTAAATGGGAAAAAAATTTAAAAAATAATACAAAGGATAATCAAAGCCGAAGTGAATGTTTAAATTTAAAAAAATTATTACTGTAAAAGACACTTT